TGGCCCTTGGGGTCTCTTCCAACTCTATGATTCTATGGTTCTATGATCCTCTAAGACTGAGAGAATGTGATTTGCCCCAGGACACCCAGTAGGTTTCCATGGCCCAGCCAGGATTCGAACCCTGATCTCGCAATCTCCTACTCCAATGCTCAAACCACTATTACTGAGTTCTATTTTTCCCCCTCTTTCCTCCCTGAAACTAGGAAAAGAAAGCTACTTTCCTTGGTTCTAAACCAAGGAAATGTTAGGTGTTGACACATCTGTAAGGTCTCTATCTTGAAAAGGTCATTTTTGCATATGTAAAGATGTTATGTAGTTGCAGAGAGTCTCTGTATTATGTAGAAGCAGAATATGTGTATTCCAAGAAAGATACGAGGCCCAGACCTAAAAGCATGACTTCTGTGTTGTGTCATTTTAGCTGCATCCACACTGCAGAAATAATCCAGTCTGACACCACTTTAACTGCCATGGCTCAATACTATAATTCTGGGAACTGTAGTTTGTTGTGGCACCAGAGCTCTTTGACAGAGAAGGCTGAATGAGTCACAAATCTACAATTCCCACAGTTCCATAGCATTGAGCCATGACAGTTAAAGTGGTGTCAAACTGGTTGATTTCTGCAGTGTGGATGCAGCCTTTCTCTTGTTTCACTATACTTTCCTGTAAGAGAAGTAAGGATTAAATCTTCGTGGTCTCTCTTAGATCAACATCCCAACATACCAAGATCCCTTGTCAATTGGGTAATGAACTTGGTTCAGGTACTACTTTTTTGGGGTGGTGGGATTTTTAAAAATTATTAAAAATAAAATGTACTGATATTTAATAATAGTAAAATCTCAGTATTGCAATTGTATCCTCACTTTCATTACAAACAACCCATTCCCTTCCCATCCCTCTCCAGAGCCACTGTAGTGTAGTGATTTGAGTGTTGGACTATGACTCCGGAGAACAGGGTTCGAATCCCGATTTGGCCATGAAATCCACCGGGTGACCTTGGGAAAGTTCCTCTCCCTCTATCTCAGAGATTGTCAATGGAAAGCTCCCTCTGAACAAATCTTGCCAAGAAAACCCCAGGATAGGATCTTGTGTTGTGTTATTGTGTTGTTATTTTTCATCAAGTCAACTTCAACTGATTATGTCAAGTCTATGAAAGACAGAGCTCCAAGATCCCCTGCTCAAGTCTTGCAAACTCATAACAGAGGATGGATGGCAATCTCTTCAGAGAGTTTTAAGTATGAATTCCCATATTGTAAGGGTTTAGACTAGACGGCCCTTGTGATCTTGTCCAACCCAATGATTTTACTTTTCTATGTTTCTGTTGTTTCCTTTTTAAATTCCATTTTAAAGAGGCAATTTCATAAAGCTGGCCCCCTTGTTTGATGAGTTGCATCTTGCATTTGCATTCGGTGGAGGTAAAAATAAATTTTAATTCTGGAACTCAAGAGCAACAATGCCCATCGCTCAGCCAGGTTCCTTAAACAGATGTGAAAAACCCTACCTATGGCTGTCCTGTAAACCTCTTTTTGAAAGAGGATATCATTTTTCTAGCCTTTTGCTGTCCACTGTTAGTATATTTCAACAGAAAACACAAATACAGAAGGAGAGGCTAATGTCTGGGGAGAAGTGAAGAGGATTTCTTAATGCTTTCTACATTGCAAATCTCATTATTCATGATACTTCAGAACAGTCCTTTGGGACTCCTCCCTTTCTAATCAGGAGGACAGGTTTATCTGCAAGATGCTTGTTCGAGAACAGCTTATATGCCTCAGGACAACCAGAATCTAAGGCTAATGAATTTGTTGGCAAATATATTCCGCATTGCCCTTTAAAGTTCATTAATTTAATTAAAGTTTTTAACATCTGCTCCTAGGCTTATGGATGAAGTTTGCCTTTATAATTCTTCTGTACTTAACTTGTTACTTTTATATGGGGCATGGGATAGAATCTTAGGTCTTGAAGGGATACCAAAGGTCCTCTAATCCAACGCAATTTGGGAGATCAACCCAAAACCATGTCTAAGAAGTGATCATCTTCTAACCTCAGTTTAAAAGCCTCCAGTGAAGGAGACTTCTAAGGTAGTATGTTCCACCATCCAGCAGCTCTTAGTGTTAGGTAGCTCTTTCAAATATTGAGTTGGAATCTCCTTTCTTGTAATTTGAGCCCATTGATTTGGGTTCTTCCCTCCGAAGCAGCAGAACAAAAAGCTTGCCCCATTTTCTACATGTAATGTTTGTTTGTTTCTTGGATTTATATCCCACCTTTCTCCCCAAATGAGATTCAAGGCCTAATAACTCAGGATTGCAAAAAGAGTTCTCCAGACTAGAAGAATGGATTTTAAGATGGCAAATGCCATTTCAGGTAAGCAAATGTAAAGTGATGCATACTAGGAAAAACAATTATAGTCAGCCCTCCACGTCCGCTGGGGTTAGAGACACAGGACACGCCCGACACACACATACACACAATGGGAAAAACCATGAATAATTCTACACACATACACCACAACCATATTTAACCATATTAAACACAAAAAGTATGATCGACAGATTCAACCAGCCACAGATGCCTTCAAAGTGGGGTATTTCTTTGTAAGGCAGAAGCAGGCAGCTGGCTGGGCTTGCTGCCATCTCCACTGCTGCCCTATTGCATTTTTAATAGGGACTTACAACTGTTGCTGCAAATTCCCAATTTCTCAGTCTCGTGAGGCTTGCACTCTCTTAAAAATGTCATAGGACAGCAGCAGAGGTGACAGCAAATTATCTCTAAATAATCAAATCCACAAAAGTCAAACCCACAAATCCAGAGGGGCGACTGTAATAAATAAAAATAATCCCTAATTTCGCAGACATGCTGATAGAGTTCTGAGCTAGCAGCAGAACCTGGGAAGTGACTTTCAAGAAGAAAGTATGGTGAAACTGTCCATGCTCTCAGATCCATCTTGCTACTGCTCAGTTATGGAATTTTTCAGCAAGTCATGTTTTTATATTGTTTCCTGTTGCAAGCAACTTTCCAAACTTCAACTGACCACCAAGAAAGAAAAATAAAAGAGTCAGAAGGGACTCCAAGGTCAGTGAGGTAGTAAGTCCACTCCTGGTTTAACTCTCAAATTTGAAGGAGCCATCCAAGGTGCTGGACCTATTTTGAGGACAGAACCAGCCTCAAATTAAAACACTACTTAATAATCTATTTAATAATCTGTGAGCACAGCTGATCATTGTTTTAATTTCATTTCCAGACTCTGCTGATTTGTGACCAAATATTCAAACACAGATTTGCCAACTCTATTTGCTCAAACAAATATGTGACTTCTGCGGATGCCAGCTGGGCAGGATAGAATCAGAGGCAAGGATTTCATCCATGGCACCAATTTATTTTTACCTTTATGGAGCGATGCTATCTACCATCCAGGATGGGTTTAGGGAGAATTTTGGTCATTGTGCATTCCATAGAGAATTCTGACCTCCAAAATAACCAAAAAATCAAGTTGTAATGGTGTTCTGGTCTCCAGAGAAGCTGGAAATATCCTTGTTCCATCTTCAACATGGCATCCTTTCCATTATTATAAAATAGCTATCATATCACTTCTCTGTCTTCTCTTCTCCAAGCTAAACATTCCCCGTTCCCTAAGCCATTCGTCATAGACAGTTTCCAGACCTGTCATCATCTTAGTTGCTAGTCTCTGAACACATTCCAGCTTCTCAATATCCTTTTTGAGTTGCAGTATCTCAGGTCCAGTCTGACCAAAGCTGAATTGAGTGGTACTATTACACCCCATGATCTGGGCACTATGCTCCTGTTGATGCAGCCCAGAATTGTACATCTACAAATGTCAAAGATTTTTCTGTTACAAAATTAATATATTGGAACAAATCCAACCAAAAAGGGGTATCCACTGAATATGTCCATATCATATACCACAAAGAAACATCACCTGAATTATTGTGTTGTTGGGATATGCAAACAGAGTAGTCTGAGGAGTGGTGAGAGGAAGAAAGCTGCAGAGGGTTTCAAAGGTTCAGAGGAGAGAACATTGTTTAGGTCTGAGGTTCTTATCACTATCCTGCAATACAAGAAAATTTTTAGTGTTCTTATGCAAAGAGCAGAGTAGCTAAGAACATGAGAAGTTTCCTTGTACTAACTATGGCTGAGAT